GACGTTTTGGGCCTAGACCCTTCATCAGAAAAATTTTTCTAAAGAAGGGTCTAGGCCCGAAACGTCAGCCTTCCTGCTCCTCTGATGCTGCTTGGTCTGCTGTGTTCATCCAGCTCTACACCTTGTTATATCTGTTTTCTGAATTTGCCTTTTTGCCCAGGCGTGGTGTTTATGGGATGTTACTCTATTGGAGCAGTTAATTAGTAATAGTTACTGTATCTATTATTCTGTTAAGCATTCCGATGGAGTTAAGTTATTCTAAGTTTCCCTTTCCTTTGTTGTATTTTAACTCTAGTGTTTGAATATATTGTGCTTTGCTTAATGTCGAGTAGTTTGACCCGTTACATTGCATCTGGAACACAGCACTTTACATCTACCTATAAAATAAGAAAAAGTTAGGGTCTAGACTACCTTCTTAAAATATTTTGAGGGGGTCTGATCTGGTCCATAACAGCATCAGCAGTGAGGCCCATCCATAATTGCCCTTGGCCTAATTGACCTACAGTCTCTGTGTTATAGGTGCAGTCTCAGTGCTGTTAGGGATAGTGAAGGAACAATGATATATTTCCACATCAGGATCGTGTGTCGCTGCTAGGGCAACTTACTGCTGGTGGTCTATTTGCTGCGCTGTCCTTCTGGCAGTGGGTTTGGAGAATTAACTACGGATGATAAACGATCAGTCACAGCCCAGTCTTAGAACCGTGGAATCCCTATTGTGTGGAAACACACGTCCACACCGACTCTCAGAGCATCCCACCCAGTCCCATCCCCTTATAACTCACCTGATCTACACACCCCTCAACACTATGGGGTAATTTAGCATGGCCAATCCACCCTAGCCTGCACATCTTTGGACTGTGGGAGGAAACTGGAGCACCCGGAAGAAACCCACGCAGGCACGGGGAGAATGTGCAAACTCCGTAGAATCACAGTCCATCCTGTCAGACAAAAGACCCCAACAATGTCCTGTTTTGAAGAAGAGTGAGAGGGTTATTCTTCTTGTCCTGAAGATATATTTATCTGTGAACCGGCTCCTAAAAACAGATTATCACATCGTTGACATTTTTGGGATCAAATTGGCCACCTCATTTCCTACTTTGTCGCAATGACCACCCTTGAAAAACGGTCTGTACGGTCCGCATTGGAAATGCCCTATGGTTGTGACAGGTGACATATAAATGCAAACTTTTCTTCAAGAGTGGGAAATTCTGCCAATTTACCTGAATAGTGTCTTTGGCCAGTCTTCAAGATAACCCTGTGTCTAACAGTTCTGGAGAGTCACTGAAGGTGTAATACAAATACAGGAATCTAACTCCCTGTTATAGCCGCTGTATTCATCCGGAGCTAATGGTGTGAGGTCATAGAGTAGTCTGTGAAATATCATGTTAGAGTAGGAAAGGATTTATTTAATTAAAATGTTATAAACAAAGGAAACCCATGCTGATCCAAAGTTCAATATAGATCCAATCATTCCATAAATAGTTCTTTAGCCTCACTCCTCACACACTTACAATGTTTAGAGGAACCCCACACACTCATTCATCTCTTCAATATCAGGTTTGTTTTCATTTGTCTTTGGGATATGAGTGATGCTGGCTGAGCCAGCATTTACCACACAGCCCTAATTGCCCCTTGAGAAGATGGTGGTGAGCTACCCTGTTGAGCCCCTGCAGTCCTTGTGGTAGAACGTTCCAGGATTTTGACCCAGCAACACTGAAGGGACGGCGATATATTTCCAAGTCAGGATGGTGAGAGGGGAACTTACAGGGGGCGGTGTTCCCATGTATTTGCTGCCCAAGTCCTTCTGGATGGAAGTGGTCGTGGGTTTCGAAGGTGCTGTCTGAGGAGCCCTAGCAAGTTGTTACAGTGTGTCTTGTAGATGGTGGTGACCATGCCTTAGTGGTGGAGGGAATGACTGGGTTAAAGTAGTGGACGGACTGTTGATCCAACAGGCTGCTTTGTCCTGGATGGTGTCAAGTTTCTTGAGTGTTGTTGGCACTGCACCCATCCAGGCAAGTGGGGAGTATTCCATCCCACTCCTGACTTGTAAACAGATGTGAACCCAGTCAGGAGCAGTGTTCCCTCTGAGGTTTGGTATTCAAATCCCGTTCTCAGGCTTGAGAAACGAAAAGGTTGGACATTACATTGAGGCCCTTATCTGCCTGTGTGAAGAGCCTGCAGCACTGGTCCTGCAAGGAGTCAGTGGTGTGTTGGGGACAGTACTGGCTGAGTAATCCAGAGACCCAGATAAAGTTCCTGAGGAGGTGGGTTCAATCCCACACGCACCACCTGGTAGAGTTTAAACTCAATTAGAATCAGGAATTGAAAGCTAGTCTGAGTTACAGTAACCATGAGTCTATTACTGATTTTTTTTTAAACTCCTGTGCAGTGCATGAATGTTTGGTTCTGGATTACTGGCCCAGTGATATCATCAATGTCTGGTGCCCTGTGTATGTCACACTGAGAAAAGATGACAGATTTCCTTTAGAGACTTGACAAAGGCTCTTTCTTGCCGTCACCCTCACAGACGGATTGGTGAAAATGAAGATAATGCGGTTTTGGTCTCTTGTTGGCTTTCTCACAGCTGCCACATGTCCTTCAGAACACAACCAGCTTGGCCAACATAGAATCCCTACAGTGTGGAAGCAGGCCATTTGGCCCATCGGGTCCACACCGAGCCTCCGAGCAGCATCCCATCCATCACCTTCCCTCTACCCTAACCCTGTAACCCTGCAGTACCTGTGGTCAATCCACCCTAACCTGCACATCTTTGGACTGTAGGAGGAAACCGGAGCACCCGGAGGGAACCCACGCAGACACAGGGAGAATGTGCAAACTCCACACAGACAGTCGCCCGAGGGTGGAATCGAACCCAGGTCCCTGGCACTGGGAGGCAGCAGTGCTAACCATTAGTGATGCTCCTGGACTCTCAGTGCTGTTTGTAGCTGGTGCTCAGCCTGGAGAGCACTGTTTATCAGCTACAGGGAGGTGGCAGCCCCAGTAGGAGGCGTTCATGCCCATGTTTGAACTGATGCCAATAGCCTTCATTAGGGTCAATATGAAGGACTCCCAGGGCAAATTGTCTCTGGCGTATGACTGTATCTCCAGCTGGGTCTGTCCTGCTGGTGGGGATGGACATTCTCGGGGATGCTGATGGGTGTCTTGTAAACATTTGTAAGGTATGATTCTGTGAGGGTGGCTGTCATGTGACTAGTCTGACAGGCGGACACCATTCCCTCCCACGTTTGGTACTAGCCCCCACATGTTAGTAAGAATGGCTGCTCCAGTGCCTACCTCGATGTCAATGGTCAGTCTAGTTTTCATCTTCTTTTTGTAGCATTTTGATATCACTGAGCGTCTTGATTGGCCATTCAGAGAGCAGTTAAGACTCAACCACATTGCTGTGGTGGGGCTGGAGTCACATGTAGGCCAGACCAGGTAAAGATGGCAGAATTTCTTCCCTAAAGGCCATTGGTGAACCAGATGGGTATCTTTTTAAAATCAGAATCCAGTCACTCATGGTCACCACAACTGATACAAGTTTTAAATTTCAGATTGTATTCAATAGCTTCTCATTTTAAAGCCACAGATGCCTTATAATAGTTCTTTGGCCAGTCAAACACATCTGTTGAGAGCCTGAAGGCCATGACCAGATCTGTTAGGCTGACCAATGGGCTCTTTCCAGATCTATGGGCTAACCAATGGTTAGGCATCAGATGTGTTGGTCTAGCCAGTGAACTGGTATCAGATGTGTTGGTCTAGCCAATGAACTGGCATCAGAGGTGCTGGTCTAGCCAATGGGCTCTCAACAAATGTCCTTGGGCTGGCCAATGAACTGCCACCAGGTGTAGAGCTGACGTTGCCTCATTGGACCTGAGTCTGAGAGCTTGATATGTTTTGATTTCTGTTGGTGAGCAATTGCAAGTTGCAGGGCAGAGACACACCTTGTAGATAGGGCGACCTCAAAGTAAAACAAGGAAAGGTGAGTATAAAGAGACACTGTTACATTCTGGTATCACTGGGAAAACGTCACATCCTTTTACAATTCCTACAAGTCAATGTTCCTGTTATTGCTGTGACCAAGAATGAGTTTCCTGTTTGGAAGGTTCTTCACAAATTAGTAACGCCTCAATTGGCAGACAACACAAAATCCCAACACCCACCCATTCGCAGCTAACCTTCTTTTCAACAAAATACAAGCAAATCTTTTGAATTTTCATGATGCACTTTCAAGAAACACAATTTTCTAAAGTATCCACGAGGCAGAGCAGAAATGTCTTTTCCTTTCTCTGAAAATTGGGAGGCTCACAATAGAAGGTCTGAAGCACTGAGATGTTCTTACCTTCAATAGGGGTGCCTAAATACCACCTCACCTTACCCCCACATCCACCCCGTTCACTTCCTTCAGCCCCCTCGCTTCTCTAAGTGCCCTGGAAGTTCGGGATAACTGAGATGAGGAGCTGACAGGTACCAGATGGTATCCATAGGAGCTCCACCAAATTGAACTGCAGGTAGCCAATGAAAAATCCACAGAAGACATCTGTCACGTAATGCCGGCCAATCATGACACGGGAGACGCCAATGACTCCAGCCCAGATCACCAAGAGGATCCGCAGGGGCACAGCTAGGACCAGGTGGTTGAAGAAGAATCGAGTCACCATGACAGCTCTGCTGGCTTGACCGGCCGGGAAAGCGAAGACATCCATGACGATATAATCCAGCAAGCTGGGGCTCACCTCCGAAGGTGCCTTTCTCTTTACCATCTTCTGCACTGCTGCCACCACCAGAAGGTCAAGGATCAAGGCTGGAAAGGTGAAAGGTCAGAAGGTCAACAAACATTTGACTCAAACACTTTGGCTGGGCGTGAGAAACAATGGCGATGCAATTTGACAAATCTCACCTACCATCTCAAAAAACAACACCATCGAATCGCATCGAATTACCGAAATCAAAACATATTGAACTCTCAGACTCGGGTCCCATGAGGCAAAGCCAGCTCGACACCTGGTCCCTGTTCATTGGTCAGCCCAAGGCATCTGGTGGGAGGCCATTGGCTAGACCAACACATCTGGTGCCAGTCCATTGGTCAGCCCAATAGATATTGTACATGGTGGCATCATGGTGATGTCACTGGATTATCAGTACTAGCAGCCCAGGATATTGTTCTAGGAACTTGGGTCGAATCCCACCAGAGCGGATGGTGAAAATGAATTGAATCAAATTCTGGAATAAAAAACTACCTCATGGCAGCTATTGTCCTTCAGGGAGGGAAATCTGTTGTTCTTACCTGGTCTGGCCTACATGTGACTACAGACCCACAACAATGTGTTTACTCTTAACTGCCCTCTGGGTAATTAGGGATGGACAATAAATGTTGGCCTGGCCAAAGACACCCACATCCCATGAACAAGCTTTTCTTAAAAAGCACCTTTAATGTACTGAGACACACATAATGCAGCTGACAAGGAGCTTTTTAAAACAAAGTACACTCTAAGACATGTTAAGTGATAGTAAGTCAAACAACTAAAAGCTTGGTCCTAGGGGTAGGCTTTAAGGAGTGCCTTAAAGGTGGAAAGAGAGGTGGGAGAAGCAATTTCAGAGCTTGGGCTGCAGGCATCTCGAAGATGAACAATTAAAATTGGAGATACTCATGAGGTGAGAGTTGGAGGAGGATCAATATCCCAGAGGGTCGAGGTGTTGGAGGGGATAGGGAGGGTAAGCCGACACACGATTAGGGAACCAAAGTCAAGAATTCTAAAAATTCAGACATTTCTTGATTGGAAACCAATATTGATCAGCAAGTACGGGAGTTAGAAGGGAACAGGTTTATTAAGGATAGAATGTGGATGGTAGTAGGATTGCAGGATGGTCCTATCAGGAGAGATTGGTTCAACCAAATCTGTATTCACGAGATGAGAGGGGGATCTGATTGAAACATAAAACTCTAACCAGGCTGGACAGGCTGGATGCAGGGAAGAGGTTTCCCCTGGTGGGGAGTCCAGAGCCAGAGGTCCACAGCCTCAGGATAGGGCAAGGATCACTGAAGACTGAGATGAGGAGAAATGTCTTCACCCCGAGGCTAATGAACTTGTGGAATTCTCTGCCACAGAAGGCTATGGAGGTCAAGTTCCTCAATATAATCGAGAAAGAGCTAACTTTTTTTTAGATTTAACAGGTATTAAGGGGTATGGGAGAAAGTGGGAACATGGCATCGAGATGGAGAATCAGCCATGATTGGATTGAATGGTCCAGCAGACTAAAGGGCTGAATGGCCTACTCCTGTTCCTAATTTATTGGCAGGAGTCTAGTATGAGTGTGTTTTCTGTAATGGAGGCATGGATGGAGGTTCTGTCAGCAGCTATGGGGGTAGGGTACATCAGGAATGTGGAAACAGATGTCCTCAATGATCTTATTATATCTTATGGTCTTTCATTTTCCGTAAGTGCCAGTGAGAGATGGTTTGAATTTGCCTCATAACATAGCAAACTGATGTTGTAACAAGAAACTAGGAGTGGATATTTAGGTATTGAAGAATCCAACAGATAGTGATTTCAACTAATTATAATGTACAGACATTACATTTCTCAGGCACATATGTGTCTGGGCTAATATAAAGCTATTAGTATGTAACAGAGTGTCATGTTTCAAGTGGTCTGAGGTAGGATGGAAAATGAGACCTTTAGACACCCAGTCACATGCTACGAATCAATGATGATATAATAAGATGCCTCTTAAAACATACAGGCCATTGGACAACAAGTGAGCGTGTGTACGTAAGATGAAGAACAGAAGTCAAAGAAAGAGAGGACATTATTTGAGGAAATTAACAGTGTGAGTGAGTGTGTGAAAGAGAGAGTGCGGTTGAGAGAGTGAGAATATCCAGCATTGGCTTTTTCAAACTTCCAAGCTCCCTGTTTCATGGAGGAAGCTATAGCTGTGAATGATAGCGTTGGTGATTACAGTCTCCCTCACTGGTGTTTTCTTTGTAGCTCAGTAACTGATCTGAAAACCAGGACTAGCAGCTGGTGCTGCTATCAATCAAAAAAACTGCACATCACCCAATCTGAATCTGTCCAGCTGACCTACATACAGGTACTAAAATACTGGGATAGGAACGTGGAGGAAGTGCAAAAGGAGGCAGAAACCTCAAACATTAACAAACAAAATTCTACAGAACTCCTCAACATCACTAACTCCTCTCCTATCCAATGGACATTTCAATGCATTCACACATGTGACAAAAGAACACTCGGAACCAGTCATGAAATCTTGAAACGTCGATTAATTCCTGCCTTTGAAACTAGTGTGTACAACTAAAGGTGTAGAAACTAATAGACACAACTGTAGTAATTGTAGGAACAGGAGTCCATTCAGCCCTTTGAGCCTGATCTATCATGGAGGTGGAGTAGGGCTGACCTGCATCTTAACTCCATTTCCCCACATTGGTTATAGCATGGAACCAGACCCTTCAGTCCAACCAGTCCACGCCGACCATAATCCCAAACTAAACTAATCCCACCTGCCTGCTCCTGGCCCATATCCCTCCAAACCTTTCCTTTTCATGGACTTATCCAAATGTCTTTTAAATGTTGTAATTGTACCTGCATCGACCACTTCCTGAGGAAGTTCATTCCACAAATGAACCACCCTCAGGGTAAAAAAATTGCCCCTCAAGTTTTTTTTAAATCTCCTCCTCTCACCTTAAAAATGTGTCCCCTAGACTTGAAATCCCCCATCCTAGGGAAAAGACAACTACCATTAACCCTATCTGTGTCCCCCATGATTTTATAAACTTCTCTAAGGTAAACTTTCACAGCATTCCCAAACAGGTACGTGTATCCATCTCATTTTCAAAACTTACTATCATCCCACGTATTCAATAATGTTTTTTTTCTAAGGGTGGAGGGTGTGGAGAAAGAGTTCCAGATTTATTCTGTGTGAGTAAGTGTTTCCCGATTATCAGCCCTGAATGGTCCAGCTCAGATCTTAAGAAGTTAACCTTTGGCTTGAGACCCCTTCCACACCGTCTCTGAACAGCACCAGGAGAAATGGATTCTCTCTCACTCTCCTCTCGAAACACCTCATCGCCAATAACACCTCGATTAAACCACACTGCAATCTTTTTATATTTGACAGAATTTTTAATCTGCCTGTACCCATTTATATAAGGAACAAGAATAAGAGGTCATAGATTTAAAGTGATCTGCAAATGAAGCAGGGGAAACTGAAAGAACTGCGGATGCTGTAAATCAGGAACAAAAACAGAAGTTGCTGGAAAAGCTCAGCAGGTCTGGCAGCATCTGTGGAGAGAAATCAGAGTTAACGTTTTGGGTCCAGTGACCCTTCCTCAGAATATTATGGGTCCAGTGACCCTTCCAGAGATGCTGCCAGACCTGCTGAGCTTTCCCAGCAATTGAGATAACACAGTGTAGAGCTGGAGGAACACAGCAGGCCAGGCAGCATCAGAGGAGCGGGAAAGCTGACGTTTCGGGTCGGGACCCTTCTTCAGAAATTGTCCAGACCCGAAATGTTAGCTTTCCTGCTCCTCTGATGCTGCTTGGCCTGCTGTGTTCATCCAGCTCTACACCTTGTTATCTCAGATTCTCCAGCATCGGCAGTTCCTACTTTCCCAGCAAATTCTGTTTTTGTGTTGAAAATGTGAGGAAAACCATTTACACCCAGTGAGTGGTGAGGGTATGGAATGCCCTGCCCGGAAATGTGGTGGAGGCTAGTTCAAACAAGGCATTCAAGAGGGAATTGGGTGGTTATTCGGATAGAAATGATGTGCTAGAACTGGTATAGGCTTGATGGACTGAATGGCCTCCTTCTGTAATGTGACAATGCTGTGATTCTGAATACAATCCGGGTGCGTGTGACCTGTTCCCATAATGTAACCTGTTACTGTCCAGGAATGATCCCTGGATTTCGGTTCTAAATCCAGGTGGAGATCATCTGACCTGAGGGTGCAAGGCCAGGGAGCGCATTCACCAGCCTCCATTAAAATCTTGACTAAATGTTTGTTCGAGTTAGATCTGTAACTGAGTGTTTTCTTTCAGCCTGAAATGTTCTTTCATACACTGATCTCCAAATGTCGAATTAAGCCGGAAAAGATTCTCAGGGATTTACAAGGACTTTATTGTAAATCTATGGTTTAGCACAAACATCAGTTTCCACCTTTCCCCTTCTGGATCCTTTCCCTTGTTCAGAAACCAAATCCCATTTTGAGCAAAAACTCAGCGTATGTTTTTGTAAGACTGCCCACTGAAGGGGCTTTAACCGAAAATGCAAAGAAAACTGTGGGAATTAAATCAAAATATTGTTGGCGGGTAGTATTAATGTATCCACAAGCCCCTGCAGTGCCCACATTTCATATAAATGTGTAAGCATGCCAATGAAAACTGCATACACCCTCCCCAAGGACCCCGGCCTTCCAATTTTACCACAACATAGGGGCAGGGAGTTGGAGATTAAATAACTCAACCTCTCAAAAAGTAAACACTATCACCCAATCTTTCAATATCAAATAACAAACACTGTCATAGATCCCCTATAGTGTGGAAACAGACCAGTCGGCCCACCAACTGAATGTCCATTGACCCACCAGCAGGTTCAGGAACAGATCCTTCCCAGCCGTTATCAGGCTGATGAATGGACTCTCTAGCCTCAAATAACACTGATCTTGCTAACATTGATCTCGCCTGGCGCACGCCCCGTGCAATGTAACTTGTATGCCTCTGTCTAAGTCTCTTTGATCTGTACATCCTTGCTTACTATGATCTGCCTGTACCATTCGCAAACAAGTTT